TAATTGAACATTTCTATAAGAGTCTGAAACTTGATATTGATATATTGAAAATTGATATTCCAATTAGATATAAATATTTGCCAAGATTTGGAGAGAGGGGTGGCATTCGCCTCCCCCGCACCCGGTTCCGACGACTAAGTGAACATATATAGTTTGATTAATTAGAAAAATTAGATATTGACCTTTCTTTTTTTCTTTGGGGTGTTCTTTCATGCTGTACCTTGATTCATTTCCTTTTCTGGACATTACGAGAGCTCTTAATTCTTTATCTACAATTAACTCCGCATTATTGTGTTTCTAGACCTGGTCCGCCATTCTTCTTTTAATTTTCTCGTAAGACGTCTCTCTGTACAAAAGTTGAACCTTGGGTGGGATTTTTTCCTGTACAGCAGCTTTTACCTCTTAACCAGCAGATTGGTCCAGGACAACAACTAGATTTCAAACTTTTATGGCGCAGTTGATACCAGTGCTTGCAGAAGCTATCAAACCCTCCATCGAGCTAGCAGTCCATTTCGTTTTCAGCTCATTAAATAAAACGGTTCAGAACCAAGCTAAAACAATTTCAAAACAAAATAAACAAATTGTTGATCTCACAGGGCGTTTAAAAAATTATGAAGAACAAAACACTGATCTACAAAATCAAATCTGGAATCTTGAGGATACAGTAGATGACCTAGACTAGGGCAGTACGGAAGGAGAAACTTCTTAAGATTTCATAATATCCCGGTTCCCGACCATGGCACAGACACGGATGCTAGAATAATTTCTATATGCAATCAGCACTTATCAATAGAGCTCAAAGAAGATGACAATTATTACATTTACTTTTATTGTTTTTAAACAAAGCTTCTGTCACTATGCGTTATGTTTTGCCTAGTGACACATAGGTATCATTTTCCTCGCGCTTGTTCACAATTTTTATTTTGTTTCCTTCATTATTGTTCTGTTCTTTTTTTTTTTTTTTGAACTTCTTTCTACCCAAACTTTTTTTTCAATGTTTTTTTCTTTTTTATTTTTAACCAAAGGTCATACAAACAAAATTGCATGTTTACTTATTGTCTCCTTGTGGCTGGTTCAAATATTGCTCAATACGTCTCTTTATGTCTTGAAAATGGCTAATACAACAATATCGAGCCGCAGTCGGACTTTTCTATTGTAAATGTAGATGTACATCAAAATCACTGCTATTCTATGTACTACGATTTAAGGATTTTGTTTATTTTTGTCTGAGTGTCTTAATTGTATTTGGTTCAATGCTACTTTTAGAATGATTAACTTACGTATTGTAGACACTCATGCTCTGTTATGGGGAGATGATTCCATCAGGTATTTCTCATATGAAAGTTTATTTTTAGGTCACCTGAGTAAACTCAGGTGACCTATTGCTATCTGTTTTTGTCCGTCGTCGTCCGTCGTGCGTTAATATTTGAACATTTTCAGCTTCTTCTCTGCAACCACTGAACCAATTTCAACCAAATTTGGCACAAAGCATCTATGGCTGAAGGGGAACAAAAATTATGAATTTCATGATCCCTGCCCCCCTGGGGCCTTAATGGTGGTGACAAAACCACTAAAATTAGTGCAATCTTTAAAAATCTTCTTCTTTACTCCTGGACATCAAGCAGTCAAACTGTTTGCATGATTGTAATCAGCATTAAGTCCTCTACCAAAATTGTAAAATTCATGGCCATGGGGTCATGGGTTCTAGTGCTAGGGCGGGGCTAAATAAGTATATAGTGAAAATGCATTATTTCTTTGAAAATCTTCTTCTCTGCTCCTAGGTATTAAATAGACTAACTAAGTGCAAAGTTATGATGAGCAAGAGTGCCTCTACCAAAATTGTGAATTTTATGGCCCCAGGGTCAGGGGTTCTGGTGTTAGAGAGGGGCTCTATTGATCATATAGTGAAAATAAATGAATTCTTTGAAAATTTCTTCTCTGCTCCTGGGTATTAAATGGATTAACTAAGTGCATAGTTATGATGAGCAAGAGTGCCTCTATGAAAATTGTGAATTTTATGGCCCCAGGGTCAGGGGTTCTTGTTTTAGGGTGGGGCTCTAATGATCATATAGTGAAATACTTGAATTCTTCGAACATCTTATCCTTTGCTCCTGGTCAATATGCTAATGATCTAATTACATATTTTAGTCCAGGATTTATTTTATTTTCAGTTTTACAAACCCTCCGCTCAAGGTTTTGAATTTTCAGAAAAAAAATTCTTTCCGACGTCAAATTTGAGTCGGGATCAAGATTTCAAAATTACGAACTTTCACTTCAGGTTTTACGATGAAATTGCGGGTAGAGAAAGCTAGATCTGAGAAGATAGCTTGGTTTAGTGTAAAATTCATCGATAAGAGTACCATTCAAAACGTTTCACCCGTTCAAAGGACAAATAAAATGCTGATGACTTTGTTGCACAGTGACATGCTGGTGAGATAATCATGTATTCGTTTCAAAAGTAACTCTCTGTAAATTATTTTCCTCCCCCAGGTTTTAAACTGCCCGTGGTAGCTATTGCATAATTCCAGCGACATTGTTTAGGTCTCTGTTATAGCTTATAGTTTAAGCACCATTCTTTAAAAAAGGGTTGCTTATGCATCAGATGTAATGAATAAAACTGTGGGAGAAGTTAAGTCCATTTGAGGAAGAAATAAACAATAGTCCAATCCACACTTTTCAAAAGTTATGTCCCTTGGCCGCCATCTTAGGGGATAAACCCATACAATCCACACAGTCGCCTTTGTAGTTTTCAGGTTTGTAATTTCGTCATTTGACTTTTAAAAAGCTCTGCCTTTTGTGTACTGATTGCCCCAAGATGGGGCTACCCACACATTGAAAGAAAAAAAATTAAACACAATGGATTTATCATAGCATGCCCAAATATTTGGTAGCACAAAGAGGAGAAATGACGTTTCTTTCCCTTTTGACCTTTTGGTTGACCCCGCAAAGGGAAACAACTTTTGCAAAGTGTGGATTGGACTATAACCAGAAGAAATAAAAAAATTCAACTATTAAAAGGCAAGAATATACAAATATATACAGGCATGTAGTATCATTTGTATCAGCCAGAAACATTATTTTAAACTTAATTGAAAAAATGTTCACCCTACTCCGCAATACTCCCTGTCTGTTTTATGATAGAAATTATAATTTTAGGCATCAAGTAAATTTTAGAACAATGTCTACACATTCACCTAACACATATTAAAAAATGAAGATATATTGAAAGACTTTCAAAGAATTGATTTTTTAAAATATATTTTGATCAACATCACAAAAGTTATATAACTGGCCAAAACTGGCAGATGATGAAATAAGCAATTAAATGTTCTACTTTACTATTTGTAAGCATTATGTGTCCAGTGGTAAGGAGCCTATTAGGATAGCATAAAAAAAAGAATGTACAAATGTTAATAATTGATTTATTAATTTTTTTTTTTATTTCTTTCTCCTTCGGGACTTTTTTATTCTCATGTTCATAACTAAACCTAAACAAAAATGCTGGCCTTATATTGAAGATAGGGGCCTTTTTCAAAATAGAAAATTTCAGGGCCGCTGGGTCAGGGGTACCAGGGGGGTACTTTGACTAAAAATATATTAATGCTTTGAAATCTGCCCTTTGATAAGCAATGATGCCTCTTTCAAAATTTGTGAATTTCATGGCTTTTGGCTTAAAACACGAACCAAATACTATCTCTGGAAAGTTGTTACATGATACTCAGGTGACCTATAAGGCCCGTGGGCCTCTTGTTAAACGTGCAATTGTTTATCAAGAGATCTGGTCGTTTTTGAATGTATTTTGATTCGTTTGTCCATACACCATTTTAAATTCTGTACATGCATTACCTATATTAAATAATCTTATTGACCTTTGTTTCCAGTGTATAGTACATTTTTGAACAATACTTTGTGTAACTAATTGTTATAAAGGAGAGGACGTTCTAAGTATTAAGTATTTGTGTCCAATCCTTTTGTTGTAACATCTTAATTTTAAGGTGCGGATGTTTATTATCAATTTTGGCCATCTCTGAGGGGTTTAGTCCGAACTTGTCACGATTAAATTCTGATACGGTCATGTTTTCAAACTATTTATCAAGATCTTCTATGAGACACGCCTCTACTGTAGCCTCAATTTCTTTAATTTCGCTGGGAGGCACACTGCGAGATGCCATTCCTTTAAATATGTTCAAACAAACTAGATTGCAAGGCGAGTGTTTTATTGTATCTAATGGAATTTATCCAAACGAACGTCCACAGTTAACTCCACAGACTCGGTAATCATCTTAATTACCTTTGTTGGGACCCCTTCGCTCGTTTAAACGGTCAATGAAATGTATTGTAGTGTCACGTTAGCGATTCGAAGAGAAGTGGTTTTCGGGTATGTTATAGGGATATTTTCTATAAAACCCCCCACTGATATTGACGAATACAATGCACGATCCCATTTTTCAATACGTTCGGTCGTAAGATGTCGGTTTTTCTATATTTATCGCTCAAATTCCCAAGACGTCCAGAGTTTTGCAGCCAAACCACAGGCACTTGTTTCTGTAATAAATTTTTGACCCATAGTATAATAATAACACAAGGTATCTAACTCCGACTTACACCGAGTACCCCCCTCCCTTAGAATCGCGCTCATTTACACTTTCCCGCGGGCGAGTGTTTTAAAAAATAATCAATCAATAAATTGTCATAGTTTTCCACGAAATTAAAATTATTTTGCTGTAAGAGTTATCTTCCTTTGTTTGTCACAATTTGTATGCGAACCAGCAGCCAATTCTTACGATTTATTTCTATCGTAAGAGAAAACTTACGATTTTGTCGAGATTCTTAAGTGTGAAATCCGTCGTAACTTTACGACAGCCTCTACCCTCTCTTAAGATATTTTATCGTATGACAGTGTAAAATATTTGTCGTAAGATGGAAATAAATAAACAAACTTGGCTGCGTTTTTGTTTTTGTTTGAGAACGAAAGAGCTATGCGAAGAGAGAGAGTTTTTCGGGACAGAGGAAACCCTATCGACAACTTTATGGACACCGAGTTGATACCAAGGTATCGTTTTCCAAGGCGATCAATAACTGGACTAACTGATTTAATCAAAGATAGAGTACAACATCCCACCTCTAGATCCCATGCCATCCCTGCACTTGTACAAGTAAGTTCTTTAATTATTTATAACTTTCTTGAACTCTTGAAAGAGGAGAGCTAACGGTAGTCAATCAATTCGTACCGCTACTTATTTTTGTAATGGGGTGCTTCGCCGCTATTGGCGATTCGCACCGAGACGATTCGCCCTCTGAGACATTTCGCTTTTACAAACTTGCATATAGTCTTCTTAATTTATCTAGAATAATTAAGATGTGTATATCTGTTTTACATAGTTTGTACTGGCATGATCTAAAAAAAAAATTATATGAGCATATATAAATTAATTTTAAAAATATTTATTTCTAAAAAGAGTATATATATTAATGTTACCTATATATCCCATGTGCAGATATAACTACCATTATATTAATCAATTTAGCATGAATGGTCTTTAAGAGGGAATCGTCAAATTCCATCTCTGTGACATATTGAAAACAGGAAGCCTGGGGCCACATCACTCACCTGAGCATTATGACTGTGAAAAAAGCAAAATCCAATTTAGTACATGTTTTGAAAGATTAAATGTTTAATTTGACCTTTTTGCTACAAGGTTCAACCTTCATTGTGGTCCCAACCTATCCCTAGGGGTCATCATTTGAACAAACTTCCATATGAATTTGATCAAACATAGCATTTGTGAGAAGATTTTTGAAGATTTTCAAGAGTTTCATCTTTCTTAGGCTAGCCTTAGATTCTACATCAGAAGAATTTTAAATGATGCCTTTTAAATTTTACCTGTTGCATAATTATCTCCCCTTGGAGGAGGTGTGGTCCTTTATTTAAACAAACTTGAATCCCCTTTAACCAAGGATAAAGTTTGTGCCCAGGTTTTTTTCAATTGGCCCAGAAGCTCTGCATAAGAAATTCTGAAAATTTTATAACAACGATGACAATGACAACAGACAAATTTCAATCAGAAAAGCTCACTCAAGCCTTCGCACTTTGGAGAGCTAAAAAGTTAATAATTCTTTCAAGTTGATCATGAGTAAATGAGTTAAGATTGAGAATAATCAATATAATTAAAGTTAAAACAAGTTGTGCTGAAAGAAGTAATTTCTTGCAGGTCTTTGTAACTTTGCGATTTCTGGCAAAGGGAGATTATCTCTCTGAGGTTGCAGACATGCATGGTATTTCCTTATCCTCTGCCTCAAGGATCATTCATAGTGTGTGCTCTGCACTTTGTCTCTGTCTCGACAATATAAGATTCCCAACATCCCAGCAAGAGCTGAAGAAAGTGAAGGACGAGTTCTTCAACATACAGGGATTTCCAAATGTTGTTGGAGCCATAGATGGTACACTTATCCCCATCCAAGGCATGGCAGGTGATGAGGAACCTACTTTCATTTGTCGGAAAGGGTTCCATGCAGTTAACATACAGGCAGTGGCAGTGGCTGATCTCAGGTACATGTTTACAACTTCTCCCAAGCTTACTAAATTATTATTCCCAATGAAGAATGAAGTTGATATATATGATTTACCGAGTCACTTTTACAAATATACTGTTTATCTTATTTAGTTTTACCAACATTGTGGTAAGATGGCCAGGATCCACCCATGACACCTTCATTCTGGCTAATTCCTACTTTCCACAAATCATGGGAGGAGTGAATGGATGGCTCCTAGGTGACTCTGGCTATCCCCTGAAGACATGGTTGCTGACACCATTTGCCCAGCCATCCAACCAGCAGGAGCAGCGGTACAACTCCTCTCATTGCTCGACGAGGAATGCTGTCGAGAGAGCTTTTGGCGTTCTCAAGAGCAGATTTAGGTATCTTTCATAACTGTTATTCAATTCTTGTGCACAATCAAGTTCCAAATATAAAATATAACCTGTAACGGATAATATCCGTAACAACACAATTATCAGATAATTTGTTTAAAAAAATAGATTAGGACAGCATCATGAGAGAAACTGAAGAACCATACCCTTTAATACATCTCCAGTTTTCATGTTTATAACACATCTCTAGTTTCATATTTACAAAAGCATTATTTTTTCATACAGATGCCTTCACAAAACCGGTGGTAGCCTGCAATTCAGGACAGAGAAGTGCATTAAAATCATTGAATGCTGCTTTAGGCTGCACAACAAGGCCATTAGTAAGAGGGTGCCCCTGCAGGCAGGGAACAATGCTGTGCCAGTGTACCACAACCATGATCTCTACAATGGAAATGATAATGATGGATTTGCCTTGAGACAAAGAATGTTCATCGATTTTAAACATCATTAGTCAAAATGACCCTATGAAATGGCACGATAAATAATGTACATCTCTGCATATACACCTTGTGATTTTAAAGTACTTGAAAAGAACTTAAAATCTGTTATCAATTTCTATCTGTGGTCTGAATAGAAAAAAAAATGACTAATGTAAAAACAGTGATAACTTTTAATATTGTTTAGTTTGTCAACAATAACATTTTTAACAAGATGTGTTTGTGAAACACTGATGCCCCCGTATGGCAACAAAGCAAAGATTAATTTTTTCTTAAATGCAAATTTAGTGATCAATTTTACAGCTGAATACATGTACTAAAGCTGTACATTTACCAAATTTTGCTCTCCAGTTGATATGAAAACATCATGCATTGCAGGAAATTTTTAAATTCGCTTCGGTGGTACCGCTGGATAAGTTGAAGTCTTTCTATTGTACTTACTGTACTTGAACATTTTTTTTACAAAACAATTAGATGCAACCCGATTTATTAAGTCAAATATAGGCCCCTATTGTGTACTCACTGTGACGTGAAATCGACCCAGCAACGAATTTTGGCTTCATAAGTGATCGATGATGTAAATTTTCCTTTTATCATTTTGACGTTATCGGTGACGGCTTGTATCAGCACCTCTATCTCTTCGTTTGACCAGTTAAGTTTTCTCTTAGCTATTTTCTCTATTTTCAGGGGGTCAGACGACAAAACACGGAAATACGTACCGCTCATGTGCAAAAGAAACGAAAGTAGGTTGTAAAGAAAGCTGTCGTTAGTGAAATTGTAATAGTGCTCGTTGACTGAAATCAGACGAATTGTCCTACAAATATTTTTTTTACTTACGACTGCGTTTGTGAAATTGACTTAGGATTTATCTTAAGAGAATCGTAATTTTTGTGAAAAGGGCTACGGGGCGCGCGCCCAGTGCGCTGGGGCTGGATTTGCCTCTGAAAGTGTCAAATCTACGAAAGCGTATTAGGGCAGCAGCAGTATCTTTTATTAATTTGTTTTAACAAATTATTAATTTGTTTGAACAGATTATGAATTTGTTTTAACAAATTTTTAATTTGATATAACAAATTAATAATTTATTATGACAAATTAGTAATTTGTTATAGGAAATTAGTAATTTGTTATAACAAATTAATAATTTGTTATAACAAATTAATAATCTGTTATAACATTAACAAATTATTAATCTGTTATTACAAATTACTATTTTTGAATATTTGGCATGTACACAGTACTATGGAATCTATATCAGATTAGAAATCTTTAAAATAGATAATTGAATTTTTGAAACAATAAGCACACGCTCTGCAGAGCTTTTGACCTATAGATATGTTTCTTTCAGCAGCTCAGAGTTTTCACTTCAAACATTAATGTCATGATAAATTGCATCAAGGTCCTTGATTCTATTCCTTATATCTTATTCTTAGAAGCTTTAATGAAACTTGGTCCGTACGTGCCCCCCCCCCCCCCACCCTTTCCGACTCTGTTCGGTCATAGCACCCGATTCGTATGCTAGGAAAAATATTATCTTATTTAAGGTATGCAACAGAATGTTACAATATAAATTGTTTTATTTGTATTCTGTTTTAGTTCATTTTATCTCTCTCTCCTCTCTCTCTCTGGATTCTTTCTTTTCATGTGACATGATCTAGCTACTTTGAATACTGCTTGACAGTCATTCATGCCTACTGTTAACCCAATTTATGTATAAAGACAACAATCACTACTGGCTTTTAAAACCCCTGTCCGTATGAAAATCCACTGTCTTTCTCTGTATCCTACAGCATTTTCACAGTAATCTACGGTATATCAACAGTATGCTACGGTATGCTAGCTCTGTATATACAGTAAATCTCTGTATGCCACTGTATGTATCCCCAGCATGCCACAGTTACATACAGTAGGCCCCGATACGCCTACAGTATGCCACTGTATGGCTACTGTTTCCTACAGACAACTACGGTAAACCCCAGTATATGCCCCAGTACGCCCCTGTATATGTTCATTGAAGCAAAAAGAAGAAGTTTACACACTCCCAGAGCACTGTACGGTTACCTAAGATGTGGGATTATCAATTTAGTACACAGAGTTACTTACCTAAGAAATTTATGAACACTATTTTAAACATATATAGTAGTATTTTTTTTTTTAATTTGTTAGGAAACTTATTGCGTTCTTTTATAACTCTGAAATAACTGTGAAAAATTAATAAATCATTGCTTCAAAGAATATTTATCAATCAATTTTTAAAATTTATCATTTAATTATTCTTTGGTTTGATTAGTTAGTTTCTTAATTAATTTATTTATTTTGTGAACACTTATTTAATCCATAAAATACTTGGAGTGACTTTGTAACTTTTGTGAAAAAAAAAGAAACAAAACACAGCCGGGGTAATTCTTGTTTTTTTTTTTTTTTTAACTTTTTGATGTTCTTTAAAAAAAATTTAATCTAATTAATTACATGTAATCAATCATTGCATAAAAACTTCTTTTCTTTGTTCTAAATTGAATATACAAACAAAATTATTAATTTTATACCCGAAAGTTGGGATTTATTTGGCTAATTTTATGTAAACAATTTTACGCTAAAATGTGTTTCAAAGTCTTTTTTAAGCATATTTAAACTACTTTTAATTATTTTACTTCCGTGTTGGTAATCAAAATAATCGTCTTATTATGCACAATCTTAACCCGTCAATAGCTTTTTGAAACTTTTATTTTGTTTAACAGGTATAGTGATCAGTGAAAAAAACAATAGGTGTCATTACTGTGTACCCCATGTCACTGGTAAACAATCAATGGCTTTGACGTTCTTTCATAATCATGTTAGGGTTTTGAAAACCGATTTTTTTTTTCAATCAAAACAAAGTAAAAATATGAAATTGCAATTGACAAATTAAAATTGTTCATAATCTGACGACTATTTTGATATCCATCATGGACGTAAATTAACTGAAATTCGCTTTAACATGCTAAAAAAATACTTTGTAACATAGTTTAGGATAAAAATATTTAAACGAAAAAAACCTTATAAATCTAACTTTTGGGGATATCAATACATAATTGATTATTTTGTTGTATGACATTTTAATGGTGATAAATTAATTATTTATTTTATTTATTTACCATTTATTCATTTTTCTAACACCTGTTTAATCAATAAAATAATTGGAAAGGCTTTCTTTGTACCTGCATGTTTAAAAAAAATTACACACAAACACCTACACAACAAAAGTAATGCTGCATTTAAAAAAAAATTTTTTAAATGAATTCAATAATTGATTTTAAATGGTTAGTGAATAAATAAATAAAACTGATTTAAAGCACGTATTTAGTCATAGTAAAAAGAACAATATATTTATCTTTTTATTTTTAAAATTGACGATACAAACAAATTAATTAATTATAATCCCGAAAGTTGGATTTATTTGGCTTATTTAATGTACACAAGTTTCCGCTAAAATGTCTCTCAAAGTCTTTTTGAAGCATATTTATACTACTTTTAATTATTTTACTTCCGTGTTGGATATCAAAATAATCGTCTCATTATGCACAATCTTAACCCGTCAATAGCTTTTTGGATACTTTCTATTTTGTTTTGATTGAAAAAAATCGGTTCTCCCACAAAGAGAAACTGTTATTTCAAGCAGCTGCAGAGTGGACACGGTCGCTCTCTGCCACAAAATAAACAAGGTATAGTGGTCAGTGAAAAAGACAATAGGTGTCATTACTGTGTACCCCGAGTCCCTTGTAAACAATCAATGGCTTTGACGTTCTTTCATAATCGTGTTAGGGTTTTGAAAATAAAGTAAAAATATGAAATTGCAATTGACAAATAAAAATTGTGCTTAATCTGACGATTATTTTGATATCCATCATGGACGTAAAATAACTGAAATTTGTTTTATATGCTTAAAAAATACTTTGTAACATAGTTTGCGATAAAAATACTTATACAGAAAACCCTAAAAAATCTAAATTTTGGGGATATAAATAATTGATTATTATGTTGTATTGTCAATTTAAAAGATATAATTAAAGAGTTTGACATTTTTATTTTGTTAAATCAATTATTTATTTTATTTTTCTTTACCATTTATTTATTTTTCTAACACCTGTTTAATCCATAAAATACTTGGAATGGCTTTTTTGTACCTTTTGGAAAAAAAATTACACACACACACACACCTACACAACAAGAGCAATGCTGCATTTTAGAAAATGTTAGTTTTTAAAATCAATTCAATAATTGATTTTTAAATGGTAAGTGAATGAATAAATAAAACTGATTTAAAGCACATATTAAATCATTGTTAAAAAACAACAATATATTTATCTATTTATTTTTAGAATTGACGATACAAACAAATTAATTAATTATAATCCCGAAAGTTGGATTTATTTGGCTTATTTAATGTAAACAAGTTTCCACTAAAATGTCTCTGAAAATCTTTTTGAAGTATATTTATACTACTTTTAATTATTTTACTTCCGTGTTGGATATCAAAATAATCGTCTCATTATGCACAATCTTAATCCGTCAATAGCTTTTTTGATACTTCTTATTTTGTTTTGATTGAAAAAAATCGGTTCTCTCACAAAGAGAAAATGTTATTTCAAGCAGCTGCAGAGTGGACACGGTCGCTCTCTGCCACAAAATAAACAAGGTATAGTGGTCAGTGAAAAAGACAATAGGTGTCATTACTGTGTACCCCGAGTCCCTTGTAAACAATCAATGGCTTTGACGTTCTTTCATAATCGTGTTAGGGTTTTGAAAATAAAGTAAAAATATGAAATTGCAATGGACAAATAAAAATTGTGCTTAATCTGACGATTATTTTGATATCCATCATGGACGTAAAATAACTGAAATTTGTTTTATATGCTTAAAAAATAATTTGTAACATAGTTTGCGATAAAAATATTTATACAGAAAACCCTAAAAAATCTAATTTTTGGGGATATAAATAATTGATTATTATGTTGTATTGTCAATTTAAAAGATA